TTCACCTCACAGTGATTTCTTCCCTTGCTGAGGCCTGGGAGACATCTGGCCTCACAGCCCGGAACTACCCTGTTTCTCACTGCCACTGAGTTGGAAACGATTCCTTGAGGGTGTGGGGGGAGGAGAGGGACCCTGGCTGTGCTTCCTTGGCCTTGATTTATAGAACAAAAGAAGCCAAGCTTCAGGCTGCTGTGCAGATAGCAGAAGGATTGTATGCTCTTTTGGAAAAAAATAAATTTTGCCTGTTGGAAAAAAAAAATTCTCTTTGAGCTCTCCAAAGACGGAAAGTGAAGACAAAGCGCCTGTAGTGTAGTCTTGTCTGTGCCCTTGTGGCTGGGGCCCTTCTTCATGGCGGAAGACCTGGTCTCCTCCCAGGCTTCTGCTGGGCTCTGGGTCTGTGGGTGAGTGGCTCTCTGTCCCCAGGCCTGGGAGTCCTCAGTGGGTCCAGGTAAGGATCCTTGGGCAGGTGCTTTCCCTGGACGAACCTTCACGTGCAGCTCATGTGTATATTGTTGCGTGTGACGTTGCAGTGGTGGAGGCTAAGGCCCTAAGAGGGAGTGTCTTGTTTTTTGTTTGTTTGTTTTTTGAGTTGGAGTCTCACTCTGCAGCCCAGACTGAAGTGCAGTGGCCACTCCTGGCCACCGCAGCCTCGACCTGCTGGGCTCCGGCGATCCTTCCACCTCAGCCTTCCAAGTAGCTGGAACTACAGGCGTGCGCTACCACGCCCGGCTAATTTTTTTGATTTATTGTAGAGATGAGGTATCGCCAAGTTGCCCAGGCGGGTCTCGAAGAGGGAGTGTCTTAGCGGCATTTGGCCAACTGCCAACAGAGACATAACGGGAGGCACACATGGTTTAAACATGGCTTCAGGGGTCCTGCTCCAGACCTACAAAATCAGCCTCCGGGATTAGGGCCCCAGAATCTACGATTTTTCACACCTGGGGAGTCGTTGAGCCCCAGAAGAGTGAGGCCCATTGTTTGTGGGGTGAAGCCACCCCTCCAAGGCCAAGAGAGGAGGCTCAGCAGACCCTGGAGTGTCTGTCAGGCCTGGCAGTTGGGGCGAAAGGTGAATAGGTGCAAGTGGGAATGAGATGAGGGATTAGAGACGGTGTAGGGCACAGGAGCCTAGGTGAGGGGGCAGGTGGTCCTCAAGGCTGAGATGAGGGAAATGACGGGAGCTGAGGAACTGAGGCTGAGGAAGGGGAAAGGGCTGCTTGCAGCCAACGTGATGGGTTCAACACGCACTTCAGAAAGGCGTGCTGGGAGTGTGTTTTGGGATGGGCTTCCCTGGACCAGTGAGGGTGGAGGTGACTTGCACTGCCCTTGTCACCAGGTCATCCTGAGCATCCAGCAGGAGACTGACATGTCTGCTCAGTACCAGGCCAAGGATGGCCGGCCCATCAGGCAAGCCTGACTAGGTCCCAGATATTCCACATATCTCATCCCCTTAGCAGCCCTGAAATGTTCTGAGCCCCATTTGACAGATGAGGAAACTGAGGCACAAGAAAGGCAAGTCACCTGCCTGGAACTGACAAGCGAACCCAGCTTGTCTGACTACAGAGTCCACGCACTTAGTCGTTCATGCTACAGCCAAGAAGAAGTACAGGGTGCTGTTCTGAGCTTGACCGTGCGTCATCCAGGTGGGGAGATGAGAGCTTTGCTCACCCATCTGGCCATTCCTTCTGGTCTTCCTTCCGCCCTCCACCCTGCCAGACTACTGAGTCAGGTGGCGGGGGGGGGATCCCTACCGTGGAGGACTGCACAGCCAAAATGAGAGACAGATGCACCCAGATTTGCAGCCGGGGGCGTGCTGAATATTACCATGTGGCCCTACAAGTCAAAGTGCTGCACCCTTCAAACTAGACAGAGCTTGGGAGTGCAGAGGAAATGGTTGTTGGACAGTGTCCAGGAAAGGCAAAATTCAGGAGGAAGGATAGGATTGGTCTGGAAGGATAGTAAGAATTCAGCATAGTGGAGGAGAGAAGGCTTACGTTATCCTTGGGTGGTGGTTGCCAGGGTGACCCATGTCCCAGGACTCAGTGAGGGCTCTGGGCCACAGAAGCCAGGTGATTAGATTGTTTCTTAGTCTAACTGTGCACCTTGGCCCAACTGGAAATGGCAGGACCAAGAAAAGCTCTGCCTGCTTGTCTTTGAAGATGAGACCCACGCACATGTGCACTCGCACATACACACATATCTAGGCTGAAATCCACGGTCTTGCTGTCTTTTTTACTAACCCAGATGTGACCAAACCTGAGTTCTAGCCCCAAACTTGGAGGAGCCCTAGACCTTGAAGGAGCCACTAGCTGTCTCTCTGAGTCTCACATTCCTGATTTGTAAAGGAGTTGGAAAAGGTGACCTCTGAGGTCCTCTCCAGCTCGAACATTCTAGGATTTTATGTAATTACTGAATTTAATGATAGAATTCAGAGATAAACCTCCGCGCTTGTGTTAGTAGAGAAGTCCCCTCCCCCTTATTACTTTCCAGCTCCTCACTGTGCCTCAGGTTTCACCACTGTGGAGACATCTTTGGTTCTAAGGCATTTCTTCCTTTGTTTAAATCAAGAGAGAGCTGGCTGGGTGTGGTGGCTCATGCCTGTAATCCCAGCACTTTGGGTGACCAAGGTGAGAGGATTGCCTAAGCCCAGGGGTTCGAGACCAGTCTGGGCAACATGGCAAACCCTCGTCTCTACAGAAAATTTAAAAATTAGCATGCCTCCTGCCTGGGTGACAGAGTAAGACCCCAACTCAGAGAGAGAGAGAGAGAGAGAGACAGAGAGAAAGAGAGAGAGAGAGAGAGAGAGAAGCCCAGCCCCTAAACCTAGCACGCTTCAGGATGAGAAGGTCAGTCCACCTCGATGTGAATGAGGTATATGCCTACTTTTCAGAGCTGCCTTGTGTATCATTTCATCTGATGCTCACTGCAGTGGGCTGGGAGGTTTATCAGATGGTTTCCAGAGTGACAGCTGGCTGGGAGGGGCTGGTGGGGCCAGAAGAGTGGTGGTTGCCTATGGGCTTAGGAAGGGATAGCTGGGGGTGGCTGCCTTTGGGGAGAGGGCCCTGGAGTGAGGGAGGGGTAAGAGTTCTCCAGGGGCTGGTTTCCCACAAGCCATCTGCTCAGGGATTGGAACTGGGGGATTTATGAGCACAATCTAGGGCCTCCCCAGGTATCAGAGGACACTGTGTGTTGGCACCAGGCTGGTCTTTGGCTCCCACCTTGGGGTACAGAGCGTGGGGGTGGTGTTGACTATGGGATCACAAGTTGCCTGACAGACTGTCACTACCAATGGCTTCAGTGACAGGGACTGAGTAAGGCCTCCTCCTAGAACTTTCTGGCTCTACCACTGTTTGCTGTAGGACATGGTCACTCCCTATCCCTCCCTGGACCTCCAGCACCCCTCATCAAGGAGAAGGTGGGACAAGTGACCTTCAGGGCTTCATCTAGCAAACATTAGGAGCTGGCTGTCAGGTAATGACACAGAGCAGTGCTGGTTGTTTTCTCCGGGAAAGCGGTTCAAAGGGCACAAGGACCCGTGAGGGATTGTGAGAGTGGAAGGGGAAGGTGATAAGATCCTTGGGGCCTCTGGGAGGGAGGTGGGACAAGGCTGATGGTTTGGGAAGTGAAGCAGGACTTGGAGGCAGCTCAGGAAGTCAGAAGCTGCTGCACCGGCAGGAAGGGCTCACAGTGGCTCCTTCAGGGAGCCGGAAGGAAGACTGAGTCAACACAGAATGCCTTTGTGAGCGGGTCTCCCGATGGGCCCCTGGGCTCAGTCCCACTGAGACCTCTGGGAGCCTGTGTAGAGCAGACCTGTCCCTGGGGGAAGTGAGGAAGCTGGCAGCTGTTCCCTAGCCCCTGCCCTTCCTTGGTTAAGTGCTGCCCCTGGGAACTTGAGCTTTCTGGCACTTGCCATAGGCCTGCCAGAGAAGGCCCTCAGGAGAGAAGCAGATGCAGGAGGAACCCAAGGGTGTGTACAGGAAGTACAAGGGCTGAGAAGATATGGGCAGGGCACCAGCCACCTTCAAGGCGGATGCCACAGTCTCTGTCGCACAGAGGAGGAAACAGGCTTGGAGAGGTTGAATCTCCGGCAGAGACTGAGTTTCCACTGGGCTGTGTTGCTTCCTGACAGCATGGGGTCACTGTGAAATGAGGGAAACCAGATGTGTAGGACATAGCCTGCCTGATCTCCCATGCCTCCACTTCCCCATCTGTAAGATGGGACAGTACCTATCCAATAGCAGCCTTGCAGGGCAGCGTGAGAATTAGGAGCTCATATTTGCAAAACAGCACACTGCCTGACCCATCACCTGGGTTCAGTAATGGCGGCTGTTACTGCACAGAGGCAAGGCAGGAGGGGCCTCACACCTGTTCAAAGACCTGTCTGTCCCCAGAGGTTGTGTCCAGCCTCTTGCTGCCGTGCCTTCCAGTCTGATGAGCAGAGCCATGTGCTAGCTCTGGCCTTGACCACAGAAGGGCCCTGTCCAAATGAGTCTGTTTCCCCTGGGAGGTGTAATTCATTACTCCATCAGCACTGATGAGACCACCAAACAAAGGCTGTAAGTAGGTTCCTGAGAGAATGGGAGACTGCATGGGTAAGTTTTAATGATTTTATTTTATTTTCTTTTTGAGAGACAGAGAAGCAATCAAAGGATAGTTTATAGAAAGACTAAGGCATTGGACAATTTGGGATTGGGCCCGAGAGTGAGTGGCTGTGGACCCCTGGGCACCAGGGTACCTACCCAGAGCATGCCTGACAATGGTGGGAGCCAGAAGTAGGCAGCTATACATCCCTTAGGAAGGTGAGGCTGAGACCCTCCAGGGCCCATTCAGTGCCCGGCTTCCAATGGAACTTCATAAATGATTGCGGAAGTAGCTGCCTTCTCCTCCTGCTTTGCCTGAGGCCAGGCCAGAGGCAGCCTCCGTGTCTCAGTAAACAGCCTGACTCCCCTGAGGTCGACTCCTCCCCTCCAACACTGCTAACACCTCCTTTCTCCCTCTTTCAGGAACCTCTTGGACAAAGACATGTTTTCCAAGTCTGACCCACGTAAGTCCTGCTCTGACTATAATAACAGCAACTGCATTTTAATGACTAATCACAGTCGCAGACGCCTGAGCCCATACTGAGCGCTAACTATGTTCCAGGCACTGTTCCAAGTGTGTCAAGACTGTTTAATGTTTCACCGATTGGTGCCTAGAGAAAGAGAACTGGGACTTTGACCCTTCCCAGCCTCCAGACTTATGAAGCTTCAACACAACAGAGCGGGTTGGGAGGGGTTAGGGTATTTATGGGGTCAGAAGGTCTCAGTACCAGGGAAACCAGTTCATTTAGGAGTTTCGATAAGCTGTGATCTGGTAGGATGAGCACTGATTTTGGAGACCAGGGTTCAGCCCTGAGCAGTGCATGACTCTGGACAGGTCTTTGGCCTCCTTTGAGCCTCATTTTCCCCAGTAGTAAAGCAGGGCTGATGGTAATAATCGGCCTCATGAGACTGCTTTGGCCTGTAAGGAACAATGCTGGTTTCTGATACTCTCCCCACCACCCCTCTGCCACCCATTCCTCCATCATGCCCATCTGTCTGCCTGCCTCAGACTTTGACCCTGGCTGTGACCTAGAAGTGAGGGTCCCCAACCTCCCTCCCAAATTGTGCCCCTTCCAGACCCACCTATGTCCTAGGCCCCTTTCTTTGAGAGAACTCCTCTGGATTGGTGCCTCTGGCACCCTCTGATCCAAGCTTGGGTGCCAGACTCTTGGACTAACGCAGCAAGACCCCTGCCATCTCAGGAGACAGCCTCCACTCCTGCCCAGACCCAACAGTGCTGCCCAGGCTGTGGTCTCCTGGGGCACCCGCCCATCTAGGACCCTCCTCATCTGGGACCCCCACCTTCCTCTCTGCCTGGGTGTTAACCCATTTTTTTTCTCCTCTCCCCAACAGTGTGCGTCATGTATACTCAAGGGATGGAGAACAAGCAATGGCGGGAGGTAGGTGCAAGTCCTTCCCCATGTCTGGAACGCCGGCCTGTCCCTGATGGTCTCTCTGCCTGCCTGTCTCTAACTCTGGTGCGGTTCCCTGACATGTTTCTAGCTGCAGCATCTACGCCCTCCTGAAGGCTCCTGAGGCTTGCAAAGGTGGAATCTTGTCCCTGCTGCTGCAGGAAGAGACTAAAGATGGAAGTCTGATTCCTACCCTCAAAGAGCCCCAGTCAGAGGGAAGATACAGCCCTGTCCTTAGGGAGTCCCAGTCTGAGAGAGGAGACAACCCTCTGCTCAGGGAGCGCCAGTCCAGGGAGAAACAGAGGGAGTCCAGACTCATTAAGACCCCCTTACTGGTCGGGCTCGGTGGCTCAGCCTGTAATCCCAGCGCTTTGGGAGGACAAGGTGAGTGGATTGCCTGAGCCCGCGGGTTCGAGACCCGCCTGGGCAACTTGGCGAGACCTCATCTCTACAATAAATCAAAAAATCAGCCGGGCGTGGTAGCGCATGCCTATAATTCCGGCTACTCGGAAGGCTGAGGCGGAAGGATCGCCGGAGCCCAGCAGGTCGAGGTTGCGGTGGCCGGGAGCGGCCACTGCACTCCAGTCTGGGTGACAGAGTGAGACTCCAACTCAAAAAAAAGACCCCCTTACTGTGGCCAGAGGCATGAGTACGGCTACCAACACCATGTCTCATCCACAGCAGCCTTCCTTCCCATGGCTGCCGGTTAAAGTGAGCATGACTTCAATTAGGTAATTTCCCTGCTTGGAAAACTTCAGGGACTCCCTCTGCTTTGAATCAGGTTTCAACTCCTTAGCCTGGCTCCCAGAAACCCACCACAACCTCGGATGACCCGGCTTTCCAGCCTCGTCTCATTTCCAGTGTCCCCCACAACATCTCTGTAAGTCTTTTGTCTCGTGTGAGCAGAAGGATGAGGAGAGGGCCGATATGAAGTCCCACTCCCAAGAATCACAGAGATAGTTGGTAGGTGCATGGGGGATGCCTTCAGTCCATTCCCCGCCCCCCAGTTAGAGGGATCGTGTTTTTCCTGTCTCTCCTCAGAGCCCTCCAGTGGCTCCCACCTTGCAAAACTACAGTCCCTGTGAGGGCCCACCAGACCCCACGCGTTTCGACTTCCTTCCCCTGGTTGACCTTGTCTCCGGCTGCTGGCTGCTCCCTCACTCCATTCCAGCCACGTGGCCCCTTCCCACCTCATAGCCTTTCCTCTTGCTGTTCCTTCTTCCTGGAGTGCTCTTTTTCCACATGTCCATGGGGTTCCTCCACACCTTCTCAGCTGTTGACTCAAGCATCACCCTGTGGAGGCCTCCCTTGGCCACCCAATTTCACGTTCCAACACCTCTTATTCCCCTTCCCTGCTTTTTATTGTCTCCGTATTACTTTTCACCATCTACCATACTCTTTTTATTTATTTTTGAGTCAGAGTCTCACTCTGTCACCCAGGCTGGAGTGCAGTGGCAAATCACAGCTCACCGCAGCCTCAACCTTCTGGGCTCAGGCAATCCTTCCCTCTCAGCTTCCCAAGTAGCTGGGACTACAGGCGCATGCCTCGACACCCGGCTAGTTTTTTTTTTGTAGAGATGAATCCTCGCTTTGTTGCCCAGTCTGGTCCTAACCCCTGAGCTTAGGCCATCCTCCCGCCTCAGCCTCCCATGCAGCTGGGACTACAGGCATGCACCACTGTGCCTGGCTACTTAGTTATCTTGTGTATCATATGTCAGCTCCACAAGGGCAAGAATCTTCATCTGCTTTATTCACTGCTACATTCTGAGCACCTAGACCAGTGCCCAGCACACAGTAGGTGCTTAATAAGTGGTTGTCAAAAAATGAATGGATGAGGATAGTAAGTTGGGCCTCCAGAGGCTGACAAGGGTGCGGCAGCTGTTGTTGCATCCTCACCTCTGCCTCATTCCTCCCCTGTGGAGCTCTCAGGCAAAGAGTGTTTTCAGGGGAGGGAAAGAAAGCAGGAACCTGGCTCAGGATGAGGGATCCCAGTACCCTCTGGCTCCTGTTTGGACAACAAAAGAATCCATCCCTCCTTTCTCTTAGATAATAGTGTCTGGCTAAAGCAAAGAGGAGGCCGAAGTCTGGGAGGGGCCGAGGGACAATTGTTTCCTTCCATGGGGGGGAAATGGGGTGAGCTTGCTGGTCTGAACACAGAAGCTGGTTTCCTTTGGCCTTCGTAGTTGTCTGAGCTGGCTGGAGGTTGAACTTACTCCTGGTGAGCAGAAGAGGCACAAGAATGGGACAAGAGGAGATTTGCCCAAGGCTGTGGCCCTATTGGCCTTGGCAACCTCACCTCATGTCCATCTCCACCCACATTCGGGAGGGAGGCCCTTGAGCTCCAGACAGACAGTTCACTTGGGGCCTTCTCTGGGAGAGAGAAGCCCCAGTAGCTGAGAGGGCAGAGGTAACTGGGAAGAGAGGCGGAAAGCCTGTCTCCCAGGTCCATGGAAAGGGGAAGCAAAAGGGACAGTGCACAATATGCCCGATGCCATGAGCCCAAGGGCGAGGAGATCCTCCCAGGTGACATGACAGAATAGCCACTCATGCTTCAGTAACTCAGGCCTTATTAACCAACTTCCCTTCCTCATTGGTGGCCAGGCAGGAGGGTCGCCTGCCCTGATCTCACCCCTTAGACTTGGTGGGACTGAGAGGCTGAAGGGGGTGAATTTTATCCATAAAACATGTGCGAAATATTTCCTTAGGGGACGAGTTAAAGTTTACTGATTCACCCTTTTCTAGACTGTCAGCCAATTAAAGCATAAACCAGATTGCTAGGGAAGCGTTTAGCCTCCTTAAGTGAACTAATTACTTTTGAGGCCTTTTGGCCCGCTTCATAGAAACCAGGAATGTGCTAATGTCGTAGTGATTCATTAAGGAAAGTCTGGAAGGGCCTCTTCAAAAGGGCACTGCTTGGCCAGCGTTAATTACATTCTATAATTGAGACTTGTCCATTTGGTTTGGGGTCCCTGGTTGTCCAAGTCGCATCTTGTTACCACACGTGCCCCCAGGGTGGACTGGAAGGAAGGTGAATGGCCTTGGTGTGGAATACACCTGTGCCTGGCTCCTGGTTCCAGCCCTTCCTGGAGGTGGGACCTAGGCTAGTTGCTTAATCTCTCTGAACCTCAGTTTCCACATCTGTCATCTGGGGATAGTGTCTACCTTCCAGGCCTGTGGTGAGGATGGAGGTCATGTGCCTTGGTGTGTGGTCAGTGCTCAGTAAATGTCAGTCATTGTGCGGCATCATCCAAAGTGTTTGGGGCCTTGCCAGTCACCCCCTCATTTCAGTCAGTATTTTGCAACAGTAAGCATTTATGACATGCAACGTACCGGGATGGGGGGAGACAGAGAGATGGGTCAAAAGAACAGGGCTTCACCGAAAGTGTGAATCGTAGCTAGGGGATTATTTGCAGTGTGGCAGAGTAGATGCATGCAGGTCAACAGTCCCAACAGGAAATGGTGAGAAGGGAAGAATGCATGGAATAAAATGGGAGCTCAAGGGAGGGAGAGTTACAGACTAAAAGTCACATTCAGCTAAAGCATTTTGATATGTCAGTTGGGTTTTTTGGGGTTTTTTTTGAGTTGGGGCATCTCACTCTGTCACCCAAGCTGGAGTACTGTGGCTCAGGGGATCCTTCTGCCTCACCCTCCCAAGTAGCTGGAATTGCAGGTGTGAGCCACCCCACCCAGCTGGTTTGGATTTTTTTTAATGGAATTTGAACCTAAACACAAGCCATCTGCCTAAGGCAGGCTTGATGTGGAGCAGAGGAGAATGTGGGTTGGAAGGAACTAGAGATATCTGGCTCAACCTCCCTGCCTTATAGAGAGGCAGGACTGGCCTCAGGTTGTGGAATCAGGATGCTAGACCTCAGTGCAGTAGGGATGTCCACTTGGAGGAACTGAGTTGGGCTGGGTTTCACTGAAGCTGAGAGACATGGCACAGGGGCCCAGTACCAAAAATGGTGGCGTGAGCAAAGGCACGGAGGGAGGCTAGAAGGAGCAGTTCAGCCCAGGTCCTGCATTGTTGAGGATATAATAAAAGGGTGGGTGGAATTCAAGGAAGCCAGTGAGGGATGGTGAGTTGCAGGGGTGGCAACAGTGGGCAGTCATACCACCTCAGGCCTGGGTTTTTGGAACCCCATGGTGGCTTCTGGAGAGAAGCAAGTGTCCCAGTGGAGGGACACAGTCAACCCAAGCAACCTCAGTCTCTTCCCGTCTTCTGATCTCCTACTGGCATCTCCCACTAGTGGCACCTCACTCAGAGACTTAGGGCCAGGGGACCGTTGACACAGCCCACTTGGGTCAGCCTCCCTGGGCCCAGAGCGGAGAAAGGCCAGAGTGGAACCAGAGTGGCACATGCAGCTGCCCAGCACAGACAGCAAGCACATGGGTGAGGCTGGCATTGAGGGGGTGAGGCCAGCGAGATGCAGGATGAGTCAACAGAAGGGGGTTCGTGGGTGTCAGACTGAGGATAGCGGGAGTCGTAGGGTCAAAATATCAGAGCAGGGGGGTCCCTAGAGATCAGAGATGTCGACTTCATTTGCGAGAGGTGATCAGGACCCATGCCCAGACTCCAGGGGTGAAGATGGTAGAGCTCAGCCACATGGGCACAGGCTTTAAGCTATTTCTGGAGAAGAGAGGATGCGCTTACACATACCGGGCATCAGGAGGGGGGGCCTACTTTCTTACCCAATTCTCTGTGCAACCCATAGAGGAAAGTATCAAGAATGGAGATTTCAAGAGATATCCAGATCCAATTCTATAGAACTGACCCTGAGACTGAAGAACGCCCTTGCAAGTACGCAGGAGCCAGCCCCCGCTACTCCAGTTGCTAATTGACCCTTGGGAGCGAATCGCCTCTCTCTTACCAGAATCTTGACCAAGAGATAATAATCCCCTGACCAGGAGTCGAGTGCCGGCACAGCATTTCTCCAGGCAGGGCCCAGACATGGGGTTTGCACAAGGCTGCACAGAAGCCAATTCCGGAA